TAAAGCCTCAGATGTGTATGGCTTTGGTATGATTATGTGGGAATGGTTGACAGGAAGAAGGCCTTTTTGGAATCGAGATCATGATGTAGATCTTATTATTGATGTTTGTGATGGTCTTCGCCCTCCGATCGTTACAGATACACCTGAAGGTTACGTTAAACTAATGCAAGAATGTTGGCACTCTAATCCAAAAAGAAGACCAACTGCTGATGATATCAAATCAAGAGTTTTGAGTATTACTAATTCAGAACGTACAAAATATCAAAATGGAAGTCCAACTATATCAGTTAATTCGCCAGATATTGGGCCTATAGAAAATACACACGGTGCCATCTATAAAAGTAGATCTTTAAGCGCAATGATAAGATCTGCAGAGTCTACAAGAAGTTTAAAAAGTCAAAGCATAACTTTAGAGTTTGGTAAATTTACTTTGATATTTTTTTCTTTTTTTAAAAAAACTGTTACTAAATATTATATATTTAAAGGTAAAAGAAGATTTGACTTTAATCCGATCGATGATGGTCTAATTACAAAGAAGGTTAAATCTATTGGTAAATATCCTTTTCAGTTATTTTTATAATTATATATAAATAATTTAACTAATACACAATTTTATTTATAATGATATAATGTATAAATAGATTACGTTTCCAAAGAGCTTGGATTTGACATCTAATAAATTAATTCCAATTTCAATTATTATTATTTTTTTTTTTTCGATATTATAGGCTTGTTAAATTTTCGTTTCAATAGATAACATAATAGAGTAAAGTGTTTCTTTGATTGAGATAATGCAGTGAAGTGTATTTTTTATTGAGAAAAATTTAAACAATACTTTGCAAGTTACTGTTTATTTTTCTTATCTTTAACAAATACTTTATTTCAAAATATATCGTTTTAAACTTCAAAAAGAAATTTTTATAATTAAACATAATGGCGAAGCGATTAGCGTAATAAGCCGAGTCGAAATGAATTCTTGCAGAATAAGAATATTAAAATTATATAAAATAGTTATGTTGACTTTTTCCTTTCAACGCAATTTTCATAAAAAATAAATAACTAAGGCTTATTATAAAACTTTCTTATATTTATTTTTTCGTTCAGGTTACAAACTTTTAATGTTTCCATTAAGCCATAAAATTTATAAGATATCATTCATCGTAAACTTATCCTTAACAATTAAATTTCTAGATGAATTAACTCCGTTATTCATAGATAACTATATCATTTAACAACCGCAATAAAAACTTTCAAAACAAAAAATATATTTTGAAATTTAACAGTTTAACGACCAAGCGACATGTGAACCAACTGACATGTCTATTTTACTGATAACCAAAGATTACAGTTAATTTGTAATAAAGAAGGGTAGTATTTTTATGCTTTATATTATGTTTAAAATTTTCTTTACAGCTATTTTCAAAAGTCACGGGACAGGCGATAATATCTGAGAATTTCTGAGAACATTTGTTACGAGGCGCTGTCCTGTTCAAAACCCGGAATTTTTTTTTTTGGTTAAAACCCAAGTTGAATTATAAATTAATCCATGGATTAATTCCTTAATTTAGTATAGATATTTCACAAACTGTTTAGCAAATACTTTTTGATGATCCTATTGAAATATATTATTTTATTATTTATAAAAAATAAATATCTTTCGTGATCAAGCGGCGCATTATCGTTTATAACTTGGAAATTTTAAGAAAAACAATTGAATCAATAATCAAAAATATATAACTAAAAAGATTTTATAAAAAAGCTGAATCGTCTAAATCAGTATCAATAGTATTGGTATTTAACACATCTATTATTGTAAAAATATAAGCCTTGCTATACAATCGGTAAGAAGTGATATACACATACCTGTATTTTATTTTGATGTTATAATTTGTAAATTTCTGCTAATATAATTCTATCATTACTTATATCCGTATCAATACCATAATCCTTTAATTTTTGCTTCAATTCTTTAATTGTAAGGCAGCCTATATTGATTTCTAATTACAAAAAAAAATTATGTAAAAAGAGGTTAATAAAATCACATGATCAAAAAGTTGCAATGCTATAAATTCTGACTTATTACCTACAAGATTTAATTAAGGAGAAAAGTAAAATTGATTAATCAAAAATAGTTAATCAAAGAATGGTTAAATATGATAAATAATGATAAGATTCAAATAAAAAAATTTTTTAATAACAAAATTTTTTTTAATAAATTGATTAATCAATTTTTTATGAAAATATTTATTAAATTTATTAAATTATTGAAATTTACAATGAGTATACACTTTTATATTTGATTAATAAGAAATCCTTCTTAAAATTACATACTTATTAAAGTATTTATAGCTTTCTCAAAAAGTAAATCCATATTATTATAATATATACTGTCCTATTAAAAGTATTTAGTCAAGCTTTTTTTGATTTTTCAAGATCAGATATATCAACTATTATTTTTTTAAATAAATACTCTGATTCTAATAATTAATTATGTTTATTTATTTATTGTTATGACACATATATCCAATTTGGTAATAAAATATAAACAATAATCAATTTTGCATAGTGATAATTTTTAACTTTTTTTACTATGCTGTTTGAAGCATATTTTGAAATAGGAAAAATCATGAATTAAATGAATTTGAGTGTAAAAAATTATTGGCCTTTGGATAGGAAGAAGAAATCATAAAGCCATTAGTCATAACTTACAAATTCCAAAAAGTATTATTAGTAGCATAATTTCTTAATACAAAAATTTTAATACTAGATTAACAGCTAAAAGAAATGGAAGACCATGTTTTATAAATGATGATGATTGTTACAATCTTTCAAAAATTGTTAAAAAATATAATCGACTTTTTCTTAATGAAATTAATAATTCACAAAATATAAACATTTCAGCTGTAACTATTTGTAAAAATCTTCATCAAATGGAAATTTATTCATAGGTTTTTGCATCAAAACCACTTTTTATAGAATCTCAATGTGAAAAATGATTATAATAGTATATAGAATAGTAAAATTTGTCAGTTAAGCAGTGGAAAACTGTTATCTGAAGTGATGAACCCAGATTTACTCTTTTTTAAAGTGATAATTCTAGTCATGTTTGAAGAAAAGAAAGGCTCAATACAATATTAAGAATTTAACACCTACAATTAAATATGGTAGTGGTGGTGTTATGATATGAAGATATTTTTTAGGAAAGGGATTGGGACCATTAGTAAAAGTAGATGGTAAAATGAATAGATTTGATTATATTAATATTTTAGAAAAAATTTATTACCATTTATCCAATCTAAATATTGCAAACAGCCTTATACATTTCAAAATAATAATACTTCCTTCATATTGCAAAAGATGTTAAAAAGTAGATTACATAAAAGAAGATTAAGGTTCTTCCAAATTGGCCTTTTCAATCTCTAGACCTTATTCTATTGAACATTTGTGACATGAACTTGAACAGAGACTTTGAAAACAATTTATGCATCTAAAGAATTTTTATGAATTTAAAGAAGTATTGCAAGAAGAATGGCAAAGAATCTCATCTGAAACTTATATTAATTTAATTAAAAGTATATCACGTCAGATTGAAGTATGCATTAAAAGTCAAAGATAGCTAACTAAATATTAAATATTTAATAAAATAAAATATAACTTTATTAATTGATCGGGATTGATCAGATACTTTTAATAGGGCAGTATATATTTCTATTAAACAAAAAACTTCTATCATAAATATTGATATCATTAGTTTTAGCAATGTCTAATTCATCTATTTTTTCACTTTCATATCTGATAAGTTTAAAGATTTTTGAAAAGTTTTACAATTTGTTTCAATTCTAATTATAAGATAATCAATATAATATTAATAACAGCTTTCTAATTTGAATAAAAATCATTCAAAATAATAAGTATAATCACAAATTAAAACATAATTTTCTTACCAGAATTTATGCAGCCTTGTAAGTCACAATATCTATCTACTTGTGAAAACATATTATAATCTAAGTCATTAATAATATATTTACATCAACTTGTATTCCAAATATCAAAAGTTTATATATTTTAAATTTAAATGTAAATAAAAATAACTTTTGATTTATCAAAATTCTGATAAATATCTATAAAGAAATTTAAAAAATAAGTAAAGCACATTTTTCAAGATATTCTAGCTATTTTGCTAAATATTTAATATTATAATTCTTAGCAAATATATTCTTAAAAAAATTGTCATTATACATCTGATTGATTATTTATACTTTTGAATAATTTGTTTCACTAATTTGATTTTTGTATAAATTATTAAAGTGAATTGTTAAAATCTTTTATAATATAATCATTAAAATATAAAGAGAATCTGTAAGAAAATATAAAATAGGATGATTAATGCTAGTTCAATAAAAAGTATTACTTAAAAATGTCAATAGTAATTTGTTATAATATCTGTGTTAGTATTTGATAAAAAATAGTTTGTACATTATTACTAGAAATAATTTACTTTGCACACATATTTCAATAAGTTATTTTAATGTGGCAAGTAAATTTCTTATCATTAGACTTTACAACCTTAGAAAATCTTACATCTTACAGATATTCAAAATGCCTTAGAATTACTTTGCTGACTTTATAAACTTAAAGGTTTAGAGAATAGAGAAAATTTATTTATTCCAAGTGATAAACTTAAAAACAAACTAATGTGATCAAATCCTAGATAATGGATACATGGATACTGAACCTTGTTAAAGCTATGTCACAAATATTTATATTAATTAGTGTTATTAACTTTATCAACATTTACAATATTTTTAACATAGTCAACTTCTTTAACTTATTTATATTTATTATCTTATTTATTCTTATTATCTTTTGTATAATTATTATATATTTTATCTTTATTATTTATATTAATTATTATTTATAGATTAGCATTAATTATAGTTTTTCTTATAATTGTAATTTTGTATAAAAAGGATAGAAAGTAGCTCTTATATAAGAATAACTCGAGAGTACAAGTTCAAGTCTTAGAATCCTAGAGTTAAGGTTCTCTGAGTATATTAATATACAATAAAAGGAATCTCTTTCTATACAATAATCTACATAAAACCTTTTAATGTGTTTAAAGTATTTATCTTGATTATAAAGTTATAAAGTTACAAAGTTAAACTTGTGCTATAATATTACCAAGTGATAAACTTAAAGGTTGAATATAATATGACTTATTTTATAGTAATCTTAGATTAATACACATATTACTTCCTGTTATCAAGTCATCATTACCCTAAGTTTGATGGTTGAGCATAGGGTTAATAATGTAGAAGGGAAAAATAATTATATTTTAAAATTGATTCCTTTATTTATTACTTGAACTTGTAATAAAACTGAGATTTGTAATAGAGTTAATTTACAATTTAAGCAAAAAGCTATTCTATTTATACAAAATTAATTACTACAGCTAACTAGTTGCTATCCTATAAACTAACTAAATTTGTAACTACAAGTACTAATATAATAATATAATAATAACAGAGATAATAATTATAATAAAAATAATAATAATAATTAAAAATAATAGAAATAAGTGTTATAATAATTATCCAACTTATAAGACTTATCAGGAGGATTTAATAAATCAGATAATTCAAAAAATCAGGAGTTTTGTAAATCATTTGATCTAGTATTTATTACGTTGTTATTTCATAGATTACTGATGATTAGTTAATTTCTAATGATAATAATGTAAAAATTTTTATTTATATTTATTTTATATTTATATCACATAAAATAATAAAATTTGATAATATATGATAATTATAATAAAAAATTAGACTTATTTTAAATTTTAAAGAAAAAATAAATACATAAAAAAAAAGAAAGATCTATTTCAAATTATTAGCATATAATAAATTAAGAACATGCTAATAATTGTGCTAAAATTGCTTTACTAAAGTGTTTACTCTTGAATTTTAACATAATTTTCTTAATGATTTTTTTCTTGAAGTATACATAATTCTTCTTAAACTGACAATATGATTTTTAAAAATAATATAATCTATTTTTTTGATGAGTTGAAAAGAATAATGTTCAATTAATTTTTGTTATAAATAATCACGTTCAAAGAAAAGCTTGGTAGTTTGATTTAAAAAAAAATATAATTGTTTTCTCAATAATAAATTCTTCTAATATAAATTCTCTTTCTGATAAAGATTTATAATCTAAATAGAGAAAAGGCTAAACATTAGAATTGTAAAGTTAAACATCTTATTACAATCAATATATATTTATTTACTAAAAGATTAACTTAATGATCCTAATAATGATCTATAAGATTATATAATAGATACAAATCAACAAAGACTATATTATAAAAAAATTTTTAAGTATAAACCTTTACAAAATTTACACTAATTTTTATAATCCTTCACAATCTTATACAATTTTTCATAATTTTGAACTGTAAATATTAGGGTTCCTCAAAATCAAATTGAATCAAATATTTAAGCAATTTGAATTTGATTTGAATTTTTCAAAATGAATTAAATCGAATTGAATTGAACTCAAATATTTAATCGAATCAAATTGAATCGAATTGATCA